TTAATTTTAAATTTTTTTTAAAAATCTCTTAAAACATAAATTTTGAATGAAATCTGAATAATTTGTTATCAACTTGTTTTATTTTCTATTAGTCTTATATAGGAACTTGAAATGATTTAGGTTAAATGAACATTTAATTGAAATCTACATTACTTGCAGAATGATTTAATGGATAGGGGTGGGGGGGGGACACTAAAGTACTTCAAGGTCGGAAAACCCCTTCTTAATAGTTCTATACCGGCGCACTAACGATCCTCTTTATGGACTAGTGATAAATCTTAATGTGCCGCCAGCTAGAAATACTTGTCTCTGATTGGACAAGACCCGGGCGGGAGGGTTTCTATTGGTCAGGCTGGCGGTAAGATTTGTTGATGAAAAATGCGAAGTGATTAGGGGTATAGTAGAGGCAATTTCTCATATAGCTTTATAATAGATTGTAAACAGTTTGTCAGGCTAGACTCTGATGCAGGCAAACTGCACTTGTATTGATTTATAATCAATTAAAGTTCATTCTTTTATTGATTCATATACGCGTGCGCGCGCAGAATTAGTTTTTAAAACTCAGTTTTGTTTCTAAACCCCAGTTTGGTAATGGTTTATATAACTCAGTTTGAAGCAAAACTTGGGGCCCCAATGTAATATATACGTTGTCATTTGTCTTTGAATTATGCGAGTTGAAAAATTGCCTGTGTAGCAATTTCAGTGGACTGTGTGTCATTTAGAACTGGGGAGTTAAGTCTGGTTAAGATTTGGCCTGTGTGTCATTTAGAACCGGGGAGTTAAGCCTGGTTAAGATTTGGCCTGTGTGTCATTTAGAACCGGGGAGTTAAGCCTGGTTAAGATTTGGCCTGTTTGTCATTTAGAACCGGGGAGTTAAGCCTGGTTAAGATTTGGCCTGTGTGTCATTTAGAACCAGGGAGTTAAGCCTGGTTAAGATTTGGCCTGTGTGTCATTTAGAACCGGGGGGAGTTAAGCCTGGTTGATCTGAAAACAAGTGAGACCTGTATAGATACGTCTCGAGTAAATTGTTATGTATTAGGCGTTTACTACAAGTTTGGTTTCTAAAACTTGGTTTGGTTTCTAAAACTCAATGTAGTTTATATAACCATGAGTTTGGTTTCTGTAACTAAGTTTGGTTTCTATAACTCAGTTTGGTTTCTAAAACTAAGGTTTGTTTCAATTTCTTTATGTTTGGTATAGAATAGAGTTTGGTTTCTGAACTAAAGTTTGGTGTCTGAGCTAAAGTTTGGTTTCCAGAACTTCTTGTTTGTAAAAAACTTGTGGTTTGCCTGACAGCTAGAGAGTTATTTTCTTAAAACACGCGATATCGAGCTCTTTCTAGCTGGGAGGTGCATTCTGCTTAACTCAATAGATCTAGGTGGTGCACTCTAGGATTCACACTTAACTCAATAGATCTGGGTGGTGCACTCTAGGATTCACGCTGAACTCAATAGATCTGGGTGGTGCACTCTAGGATTCACACTGAACTCAATAGATCTGGGTGGTGCACTCTAGGATTCACGCTGAACTCAATAGCTCAGTGTGGTGCACGTGCACTATAGGATTCACGCTGAACTCAATAGCTCTGTACCTGTGTGATGCACTATAGGGTTCACGCTGAACTCAATAGCTCTGTACCTGTGTGATTCACTATAGGATTCACGCTGAATTCAATAGCTCTGTACCTGTGTGATGCACTATAGGGTTCACGCTGAACTCAATAGCTCTGTACCTGTGTGATGCACTATAGGATTCACGCTGAACTCATTACCTCTGTACCTATGTGATGCACTATAGGATTCGCAAATTAGCAATGCATAACATCTTTCACAAAAAATAGGTGTTTAAAAGTTAAGGTTTCGACAATTTATGTTATAAAAATTATCATCAGGTTTTATGAAGGTTGAGGAAATCAAATATAAAAAAACATTTGTTATACGTACAGCTGGATTTTAATGCTGTACACTATACACTGTACAGCCTCTGTATGGTAGGTGAGGGGAGGGGGAGGAAATNAGTCCGACGTTTTTTCTTATAAATGTACCCGTCCGACGTTTGTACTGGTCCGACGTTTGTACTAGTCCGACGTTTGTACTGGTCCGACGTTTGTACTGGTCTGACCTTTGTGCGTCCGACGTTTGTACTGTCCGACGTTTGTGGCGTCCGACGTTTGTGCGTCCGACGTTTGTACTGGTACCGATTAAAAACCCCTTTTTTTATAGAAACTTTAATTGAAATTAAATACATACAATTTGAGAGACTATAGAGATTAAACTTTTATTTAAATTAGAGATATATGAACTTTAATAGAAAATAAAGATATAATCTTTAATAACAAAGAAAGATATAAACTTCAATAGAAAATAGAGAGATATATATATAAACTTCAATAGGAAAGACTTAAATAAACTTCAATAGAAAATAGAGATATATATATATAAACTTCAATATAAAATAGAGATATAAACTTCAATATGAATTATATATTTATAAACTTTAATTTAAAGCCTCCACGCAATCTACGCAATCCAGGCAAGCATGTGAATATTCTACCATGGTTTCTAAGTTCAGCCAATGAGGGGAAGAGTGTGGTTTCCTTGAAATTGTTAGGTTCGGGTACAGAGTTTCTCCCGCCTAGGAGTAGCAAAGAGTACATAGAGATAATTATGGTTTATAATCCACCGGGATATTGAGTACACATGTACAGTATAAACTCGTATAAATGTTTTCGGTGACCTCAAAGAGAAATGATTTCTATTTATCTCTTTTATTTTTTAATATTATTAAATTGCTCCAAGCTTACATCTCTCGTCTTAGCCCTAGTCCCTAGCCTAGCCTAGAGATGATTAATGATATTTTCCCCTCCTACCTCACACACACACACACACATTCACAGTCTAACTCACTCACTCATTAACTAACTAACTTACTTGCTCACTCACTAACTCAATACCTTACTTACTCAGTACTCACTTAGTTACTAAACCTCACTCCCTCTCTCTCAATCGCACATTCACTTACTGTCACTCACTCACTCACTTACTGACTCCTTCACTCACACACTCAATCACCAACTTACCCACTCACTTACTCACTCAATTTTGGTGTCTCTACAAATACAGCATTGTTGCCAGAGCTTCAATTCTAAAACCATTTTCGTTTATTTTGCATTAACAATGTCTACTCCAAAAATGTCCTATCAAGTAATGCATGCACACCAAAACCTTTTATCAGTGTCAACCCAATTTTTATCCACTTTCACGTTTTAGGAAATTCTCTCTGATGCGTTTAATATTTCTTCAGAATAATCAATGCCAGTTTTTGATCGAATTTCGATTTTTTGGCTTATTTTTGTTTTAATATATAATGGAGCAAACAAAGTTGTTCTTGTTTACCTACTGTTTCTGTATCAACTTCAAAGAATTTTCAAAAATTTCATTCGCAAATATTATTTGCTACAAAAATGATCAAAGGTTATCGTTCGAAAAATTTTGAGCAGATTGTATCAATGTACAAAAAGAAATTGGTTGAAGGGTACGGGATTAATTAGGCATCAAGCACTTTTCTAAGAGAGACACCCTGTAGATTCATATTTATATATATGTATGGTATTATTCACTGTATTTATTATCTTTATGCATTAATTTTTTGTTTTGGTCTTTGTTAGGATTACTTTCATTGTACAATACTATCAAGNCTTGCAATTTAAAATATGAAGTATTAGCTGGTTATGGTTTTTCAACTTTTAGAAAGTATGTTGAAACTGTTTATTAGCTGGTTATGGTTTTTCAACTTTTAGAAAGTATGTTGAAACTGTTTATTAGCTGGTTATGGTTTTTTAACTTTTAGAAAGTAGTGTTGAAACTATTCAACATTTTGCTTGCAATTTAAAATATGAAGTATTAGCTGGTTATGGCTTTATAACTTTTTAGAAAGTAGTATTGAAACTGTTAAACATTTTACTATAGTTATGTTAATGTCATTTTTAACTGATTTTAATTTTAAAAAAATAACAAAATGATCCGTCAATAATTAGGAATAATCTTTGCAAAATACTGACTCAGGATAAAGGCTCAAAATGAAGTTTACGACAAAGGAATTGAGTCTTTGCCACAAACTTAAATTTTCTAATTCCTAGGTTTTTGCAACCCATGATGGTGTAAACCTTTGATATTTCAAACTTAGATTATTTCATCTTACAGCCTCCGAATATATTGAATATGAGCCGCGTCTCAAATCCGCCAAATACCGGTTTCAATTGAGTGCCAGCTTAAATCTTGAAACATTGAATACAATTTTTAGTGGAAACAACCATATTTGAGCCGTGTCTCAAATTTAAGCCAAGGCTCAATTTTTTTAAATTCGGAATGTTCAAAAACGAATGACAAAGATTTCCAACTTCCAATATACAGTAGTCGTCGTATATATCAATACAATGAAGACGACCTTCGAGTTCAATTTAGATTATTACCAAGCTTTCAAACTGTCAATTAACAACTTCTCCTTGTGTACTTGTAAACTTGTAATTTGAAAAAAAGCTTGTTAGAAATAAAATGATCTCTAGAATAATCCAATATTTTACAAAAGCGATCATAATTTATAACGATCTTCAATAATCTCCAGTATAATCCTACATCTCACAAAAGCGATCATAATTATAAAGATCTACAATGATCTCCAGTATAATCCTATATTTTACAAAAGCGATTATAATCATAAAGATCTTCAATGATCTCCAATATAATCCTATATTTTACAAGAGCGATTATAATTATAAAGATCTTCAATGATCTCCAGTATAATCCTATATTTTACAAGAGTGATCATAATCATAAAGATCTTCAATGATCTCCAATATAATCCTATATTTCACAAGAGCGATCATATTTCATAAGATCTTCAATGATCTCCAGTATAATCCTATATTTTACAAGAGCGATCATAATCATAAAGATCTTCAATGATCTCCAGTATAATCTTATATTTTACAAAAGCGATCATAATTTATAAAGATCTTCAATGATCTCCAGTATAATCCTATATTTCACAAAAGCGATCATAATTTATAAAGATCTTCAATGATCTCCAGTAAATCCTATATCTTACAAGAGCGATCATATTTCATAAGATCTTCAATGATCTCCATTCCATGGATCACTAGTTCCTCCTGATAGTGCCGACCAATCACTTGAACACCTGATTTAGAAGATTTGATTTTAAAAATCCATTCACAAATTTTTAAATATAGTATTTTTGTTACCTATAGGACACCCTGTAGCTCCTTTTGTAGCGTTGTATGCGAGCCTAAAAAAAATGTATTTAAAATGACTGATTACTAATTTCTTATTTCTAAATATCTATTATGACGCTTCGCGCCCATCTTTAACTTTA